AGAAATGTTTTATTCAGTGAGAAAATGGGTCTTTGGGTTGTTAAAGGTTGCTAATTTATACTTAGGGCCTTATATTTGTCCTGCCAGTTTGGGTACTTTTGGCATTTGCTTTGATAACTGAATGAAATGTTTGACTGGTTTTAGTTTGCATCTCCAACAAATTCCTTGTTTTAAGCTGAGAAATGGACATTTGAGAGTAAAATGACTTTATTCCAGAGTTGTTAAGGAGCCAGATAATGGGAGTGAGCTTGTGTTCACACTCGGCTACACCCTGGTGAAGGAATATGTTCGCTGATAAACGCCAGTTCTGTTTGCAAGCAGCTTCTAACAGGCTCTTTTGGAGACGGTGGCAGAAGGCCAGCCCCTGTTTTCTGGCTCTGCTTCAAACTGAAACTGGTGCTTTTCTCTCCATCTTTAGCTCCCACAGTAAACTCTAAGTGATCTCCTAGTTTTATCTCATAGACAACCTTTAAATAGTGTTGCATTAATTAAAAAGAAAGCAACGCACCATAATCTCAAAAGACCCTTATAAATATGTTTTAACTGTTTTTATTTTAATGTAATGTTTCTGAACTTATCAAATCCTTCAGTAAGCAGAACTTCCTGAACTCTGATGGATTCATTTTCAAACAAATCCTCCTTGAACTTGTCTCAGACAGCCACCTGTTGTCATTAAGAGGGAAAATGCATCAAAATGCTGATCTTGCTTTCTGCTTATTAAGCGTCAACACTCATTGATCATTGTCACTTTACTGTAGATATTTATCCTTTACATCACTGCTCAGCTCAACAGAGCAAATGTTTATCTACCTGCCTACAACATCTTGTCACTCGCTAAAGTCTTGGTTCATTTCAGGGGAAATGTTTATTTTATAGTTTAAGGTTAGAAATGTCTGTTTTGTCAACTCACTTTGTAGTACTTTTATCTGATCCGGTGCAAATATTGAGGAATCTTAGCTTGAGAGTAATTGGTAGTTTGGCCAGGACTTGTGGACCTTTTCATGTGTGTAAAATGTGATCAGTCGCTGCTTTTTGTTGTCTTTTCTCTTCTGGGTTTGACCTTTTCTCTGCCTAGGCACAGTGTGAAATGAACAGATTTGTCAGAGCAAAGTGTGACAAAGTGATTCAGTAACATAAAGAGTTGATCTTTTCCCTCATCCCGTCGCTGTGACTAATCCTCATTCAGGGCCTATTTAGTTGTGCTGTCAGTAATTATTAACAGAAGGTTTATGGCTCTGTTGGTTGTTTGATCTTCCACTTTGCAGCCTTGCTTTTTCAATTCCAGATTCATAGTTACTTTTATTACTTTGTTGGAGGATTACTGAGATGTAAATGGATAAAACAGAAATTCAGAATGAACATTTATTAAAATGTATGTTAAGAAGATGTTGCGCGAGGCTTTCTCTTATCTGTCAGTTTAATTGGTGGCATAAAAAATAAGCTGATCCTAATCCACTCTGTCATTTTTTAAATAATTATGTTCACTTGCATTTATTTTTATTTGGCTTAATTAATATTCAACAAGATGAATATCAAGCAAGTAAATGCATGTTTTTTTTCCCACAGCGGCAGGAACTACACATAAACAAACGATGAAACTAAATGACTGCAGTTAAATTATTAATAATTCACTTGCTGTCTTACAGACTCGCAATTTCCTCCTGGTTTGCATGAACCTGAATTGCACACTTAATCAAAGAGTTTTGATGTTGATGTACAGGACAAAGCCACACTGGAACGACAAGCACTAGTTCAGAGAGTTTTGAAATCAGGGAACATTTCGCCTATCAAAGTAATCAGAAGTTGGCAAGACTCTCTGAAGTTTTACGATCGTGGAAATTCTTGCCTCATCAGAAAAAGCTTATTTAATAATAGGAAAGTTACATTATTACAGTAGTATTTGGTACAAAAGTTGGGTATTTTGGCATTGCATTGAGTGAAACGAGGTGCTGCAACCAGAACATTGCTGGATTATTTGGAGATAAAAACTTTTCTTTTCTTGAATGTATAGGATTTGACTTCAATTAAAAAGAAATCTTGTTTCATTTGTTGAGTTGAAATTTTGGAAAATTTTTAAATTTGTCAGAATTAAATGTAACTGGGTAAGACTCTAAAGATGGTGAACCTATCTAGACGGATGGATTGATGCATCTACAATGGTGTCATGGAATAAATCATCCTATGAAGCAAACAAACATAGCTAGTCATAACTATTTTTTCACTTTGCTGAAGAATAAGAAATAGAAATTAGTTTTTTTGGGGGGGTGGTTAAGAGCATATGTTTCCAACTAGGAAATGTAATTTTGTGGGCTGGAGTTAATTTCAGAAAAGGAAGCTCTATTACCGCCTCTGTCATTGGAGCCAACGTTACGCCACAGAAATGTAAACACGATCTCTGTTTTGCATTGGAGATAAAAGTATATCTGAGATGTCACATGCGCATCTCTTGACGTGGATTATTTTTAGATGTGCAAGGTTTCATTGTACCTCTGGTGAGTGATTCCTAGGAAATTAACCGTCATCTGATGAATACTTTCTCCTAACATGTTTCTGTGTGCTTGCCAAAGAAACCTGTTGTCATGTGTTGATCTCCTGACTGGTTAAGTGGCTTACTGATGCTTTCGCGGCTCCGAAAGATGTTTGCAGGTAGACCAAAGTTTACTTTCATTTGTTCCGCATCGCAGTTTGATTACACATTCACACGAACCTTGGAAACAAACTTGAAATGGACTAAACATGGTGTGAATGCACCCGTAGTCATATTAAGTTACTACAACAATTTGCAGCTGTTTACAGACAGAAAGCAGTGAGGAAAATAGTTTGAAGTACTTCCCTGACAGTCCAAGTGGAGGTCAGTCCTCCTCCAACATCAGCGATTACTCACTGAAGCTGTTGTGTTGTTTTCTACATGTTTTTATGATCAATTCAATTAGTCTTTTGCTCGTTTTAAAAGAAGCAAGCTGACACCAAAAATCAACCAGACATGTTGTAATGAGGGTTAACTATTCAAGTTTCTTGCTGTCATTGTAACAAGCATGCTGGGACATTTTAATTCCCAGCATGCTTTATGCTTCCCAGCATGCTTTTTGCTGGGAATTAAAATGTCAATTAGTAATGATGATGCATCAGAGGCAAACAGCAGGTCCTACTGGACCGGGACCTAACCGGTCCAGTAGGATAGGTGATCTGATCCAAGATGGATGATGTCATGTTTTCTGTGTCCGTGTGAAAGAAATGACTGTAGAAGTGTGTGTGATAGCTGTATGTGAGGTCTGAGGTGCAGTGTGTGTGTGTGTGTGTGTGTGTGTGTGTGTGTGTGTGTGTGTGTGTGTGTGTGTGTGTGTGTGTTGTTGCTGGGTGAAATGCTCTATAGTTAGGTCCCTCCCTTCCTGTCTCCATGTTGCCATGGGAACAGGAGGTAGCCGTGTGGGGTGTAGCATCACAAGATGCGAGCAGGTTGCTTTCCGTAGCTCTCTGCAGTCGGGTAAACGTCTGTCTCTGCATCGTTCTTCCCTTCGCCGTCTGTTGTTTTGGCTTCTTCGTCGTTCGTTCTCTGCTCTGTTCTGTGTTTTGTCCGTTTCTCTCATCTGAAGGACGGTTCACTTTGTTTTCAGTCAGGACGAAGAGCTGAGAGCTAATGAGTGAAACTCGTGGAACGACAGATTCACTCCTCAGGCATCCAGATCTCATTGCTTACTCAGTGTGTTTGTGTGTGTGTGCCTATGTCATAATGTATGTTTTAAATGTTGTGTTGGTTTTGTTTCCTGTTATGTTCTGATGTCTCTTTTTGTTGTTGTTGACATCTCTACCTGTTTTCTGACTCATCTGGGTGACAGACCCGCTCTTCAGTGTGTGTTGCTTCTGTCATGCTGGTTGTTGCCCTCATGTTTTACCTCTGAGTGTAAAAGAAGCTTCACGGCATGGGCTGTCGCTGCCTCTTCAGTATTATCCCACCCTCCTGGACGGTGAAACCTTGGAAAAGCTTCCAGATGCAACAGTGAACCATAATTAAATCCAGTGTTTATAAGTAGGGGAATTCTGCCAGTTCTAGCTAAATCTGTATTCATTGTCAGCACTGGCAAGTTAAGCTTTGGCAAACTGGAAACCAAAATTATTAAACGTATTGTATTACAGGGTTCCCCTCAGAAAACTAGCAGAAACTGGTGGTAGGGTCCACCAGTTACCACATCGTATTTTTGTGTTTAAAAAAAATGTAAATAGGAACTAAAAGCAACAAGGAAAATACAAGAGTGGATGAAATAAATTAGTCTTTTACTCGTAATATATTTGTCTGGTTTGATCGATTTCTACTTGTTTCATTTGATGTGAAATTCAAGCTACGTTCTAATCTTTTCACCTCCGAAAATCTGACCCTTGCCACACATAATAAATTAAAATGAACTCAATAATTTCCATTTGCATTATTTATTGTATCGAGACTCCATAATTGATTTTGTAGGTTGTTTATGTGTAATTTGGATATTTAAAATGTCTTCTCGTTCCAGTGTTAAATGTTAATTACAATTTAAAGTTTATTGGTCTTCGACAATGTGTTCTTGCATTATTATAACATCATTATATTACTTAAAATAGCCTCAAAACAATAGCATTACCTTTTATCACAATACTTTCTAGGTCAATTTATTGTCCAGCAAAATTTGTTTAAATTGAGCATCACTACCTGCGGTGTTATCCTTAGTAACCCAGATGATAAGGCTCAAGTCATGACTCTTCCTTTATACTTTCAAGTGTATAAAGGAAGACTGCAGTGTGGTTCCCTCTGCAATAATGACCGTTAAGTCTTGATTATGCATAAACTCAACAACTGTTTGTAGTTGAAATTATCTGTAAACATTTGCCTGGTTCCCCTTTAGCTCTGCTGTCCTAACAGTCCTTTACCACCAGGAAGTTTGGTCATGTTTATCAGGATTTCAACCCCTGTATCATGTTTTACTGCTTCCCTGAGACGGTTCTAAACCTGCTGTGTTGGTGTGTTTCAGTTCTACCTTCAGGACACTAAAAGCAGCAATGGGACGTTCATCAACAGCCAGAGACTGAGCCGCGGGTCCGAGGAGAGTCCACCCTGCGAGGTTCTGTCGGGCGACATCATTCAGTTTGGGGTCGATGTCACCGAGAACACGCGCAAAGGTTTGTGCAAACATGCTATGTTGCCCACTGATGGACTGAAAAACAACACTGGTCCAGTTAGGAAAAACCAGATGCCTCCTGGAAGCCTACTGTTTCATCTTCCTCTTTTTTTTTTTTTTGCAAACAGTGAGTCCAAATATACACCCTGAAATATACTTAATGGTGGCTTAGGGCTAATTTAACCACACAACACAGCAACACACTGACAAGGCTCACAACAAAGCGCACATATTAAGGTCAGATTTTCAGCTCTACATACTGTGTTGCTAATCCAACCTGCAGCACTGTAATCCAGAAATACACTTAAATTTTGGACTAAAAAAATAAAAACATAGAAATATTTATTAAATCAAATTTCCAACCCTCGTATATCGTTATTATTATTATTATTTAGATTTTTTTTTATCCAGCACAAGACGAAGTTCAGATGGCTTTGATTGTTGACAGATCTGCTTTGTGGCATTTAATATGTTACAATAAAAGACATTTTTTCTATTGAAAACAAGGATTTATATATTTTTTAACATTAGTATGAGCACATTTAACTTAAAACGAATAATTTGTTATCATAATAGATGTGACTGATTCAGTTTTATGCCACTGCAAGTAAATGAACAAGATTCAAGCGCTGGAAAATTTATCTAATACAACTTCTGCTCTGAAGAATGACCATCAAGTAAGGCTATTGGTGTTTACTGTACATATTTATAAAATACCTGCATTAATTACGGTAATGGTCTGAGCAAACTTCAAGTTTTATCATGATACTTTGTGTCACTAGTGTGATGGCAATAAATGATCACAACTATTTTTCTCTTTTAGTGAACAGTATCGCTAAAACTATACATAAATGGAGCACTCCATTAACGGCTGAATGGAACCGTTAATGGATCGATTTCAGAGTTATTCAGCAGCGTTGATCTTGAATTGTCACCAGATCATATACAGACAAAGAGAGCTAATAAAAAGACAACGCCACAAATGCAGTCGCATCAGTGACGCAAAAGTCGGATAAAATACAGCATGACCTTGCAGGATATAAGATCTGAATGTAATTTTGTTCCACAATATGGAAGTACCGCACATTAGATTCTTCTTAGTTTAGACTGCCATGAAAAATTGGGCATGGATTGCATTTCCCTGCTGTGTGAACGCAGCCTAACTGAAGCAATTCACACGTGAATCAAAAAGGCAGATTTACTGTCATTGTAGGGCTGGAAAATATGGCAAAAAAATATATCACAATGTAACATATTAGTTGATAACGATAATTATTGATTCGTTTTTTATTTTTTGCTTTGAATACATTAAGTACTGCCAAACTGGTGGCATGGCCTTTCCTGTTTTATCCAGTTTTCACTACATGCTGTTTGTTTTTATTTTTCAGCAAACATGAGGCACAATGATGAAAACTTAAACTGCTGCAGCTCAAGTTTCTCAACGTGTTGTTGCTATTTAGCCACAAGATACTCAGCAGGTTGTTGCTAGGTAACCAAAAAATGAGCGAGTGAGTTGATGCCACTTATCTAGTTGCATAGTTGTCTGTAAGATGTTGATCTGCCAAAGTTTTTCCTATGCCTACATCCCCCAGAATGCTGTGTGGTTCTGGATCGAAGATCAGGGAAATTGAATATTCTATCAGATGTATTATATATTGATACAGTGTCTTTTGCAATATATATTGATGATTTATTGTCCAGCCCTACTGCATCGAGTGCCAGCAAGTTTAGCTGAAAAATTAGCCAGTCATTTAGTTCATGTGTATTGGAGCAGGGATGTATGCTAAAGTTGCAGGACAGCCCGCTGGAGTTGGAGAATAAAGTAAAACAGTCGCCAGTGACTCCGTTATGCTCGTTAGTAACGCAACTGTCTGTATTATTCTGTCCCCAGTCACCCATGGCTGCATCGTGTCAACAATCAAACTGTTTCTACCGGATGGGATGGAGGCCCGCAGACGAAGCGAGTAAGTCACCGTTACCCTCTTAAAGAATTTAATGTAAAAAAAAATATATATATATACATATGAAGAAGCAGCATAAAAATGGTTTTATTGCTTTATATTCTGAAGTAGAGGTTGTTCTATCCTCTGCCAGCACAGTGATGTGATCAGCAAACCATAAAGAAAATGTAATTAAATTTTGAGCAGGGCAGTAATTGTACAAGACGGTATGAAATGTGGCTCATGAGTTTTTAGCATGTTTGTGTTGTTGTTAGTAAGACAGTTGATGCTGTTACTGAGCAGCAGCCGACCCAGCATGATGTTTCCTACTGTACTCACGGCTCCACCTGTCTGTCTGTGTCTGTTTGGCTTCAGTTGATGCCGTGTGCACAAGGGATCCAAGGTTACAGAGCGGTGGTGTGCAGTGCCATCTGCTGCTGCAGCGTCAGTAGGAACTGAATGAAAAACGCTTTTATATCGGCGTCATATCTGGTCAGGCTGGCCCACCATTACAAACAGATCACAGATGATGACCTGCTGTCTTAAGTGTCTGCGTATTTGTGCAGCAGCATTGTCTGCAAGCAATGTTTATGAGATTGCATTGGTGGATTTTAACAATAGCTTCATGGCTTTGCTGCAGATTTAAAGGCCTCTACTGAAATAACATCATTTAGTTTCTAAAAATGTCACCTTTTGATGTACTTGCTCACATTAACACACCTGTGACTTTTACATTTACATCCATCCATAAAATGAGATGCTTGGCTTTCTCTAAAATCCACTTCAGAGCGAGAGCTTTCATTAGCATCATGAATATCTCTACTGATTCTTCCACTTCAACCTTTTAGATGATTTAAAGTGGAACACATTGTCTGACTGATGGTAGCTTTAACTGTGACCCCTTAGAGGAGGGGCAAAGATTACAAAGAAACCTCAACTACAAAACATTAACTACTATCGGGTATTAGAGCCACACTAAGAAAATTCAAGCATTTGAAATTACAAGAAGTTGTAGCAATCTGAGAATGGATTAAAATCATTTATTTCATTTATTTAAAGGAAATCCAGTAGAGTCCAGCAGAGTAAATTAAAGAATTTATGTCCTTATCCAGAAAAGCAATGCTACAGTTACTCAGCATTAACTGCTTCAGTGATCTGCTGTATTATATTTAAAATGTACATGACTTCACTGTGAGGCTAAACTTAGAGTCCCGACTTGTTGATGGTTTCATTGTGGTTCCCAACATTCACATTTAGACAAAACAGGTCATATGGCATAAAACGAGATCTGCAGCAGCCAGTACAGTTATTATAAACAATGAAAAGCTTTGCATCGTCAGCAACAACCTCAATGCCTTCAGATCAGTAAGATGATACAAAACAGGCTGAAATTGTTACCACATAAGACTGAAACATCAATACATCTTTATTATGGTTTTATGTCTAATTCTAAACATTTGTTGTGAAAGTGGAAGCTGATCAGAAAACTAATAAGACAGAAATTTCCCTTTGTGATTCCATATGAAGCTATTTATTACCAACAGAATATCCCTCTTGGCTTTAAGATGTTCACCAGTTTTTAACAAAATTAGGCCCCAACTAAGTTTCTCCCTCACCATTCAGCCATTGTTTAGTTCTGACAATAGCCCTCCTGATTCTCTCTGCCTGTTATCACCGTCCATATTTCCTCTAAACACTCCCACATACCTGAGGTCATGTGACCAACGCGGATGTTTCGTTTTCAGGTGACTTGTTCTCTGTGAGGTGAGCAGAGCTCACACAGCGAAGGATTGTGAGAAAAACTGAAAGATCTTTGCCAGAGTTGGTGCACAGACGGGGAGGAGTTTGTGCAACTAGTTTGAGTTAAAGGAGGAAGACCTTGGTCATCAGCGGGAGGAGCAGATTATATATAGAAAGACAGGTTGTGTCATTGAGCGTCTTTGCGGCTCGGCTGTTGAAAAGTAGAGACGAATTATCTGCTCGGGACGTGTTTATGTTGGAGAATGAAGCGAAACGAGTTTATTTCCCAACTGCTGTAAGGCTGGAGGGTGAACTTTGTCCTGTGAAAGGTAAAACAGCTGACACACACACATCCTCACACACACACGCAGACGGGAGCAAACGTTGACAGGTAACCTTGGACTGTTTCAGAGCCGAACAGGTTAGTGCTTTATGTGATTTGTTTATGTGCAAATCGCTCCACATATAAGAAGGCTGTTGACATAACGCTGTTTGTTTGCTTGGTTTGGGTTTTATTGACGTTGGCGGACTGGAGCTGAATGTGCAGCAGGATTAACAGGATCCTGTAGTTTCTGCTGCAGATGTGTGTTTTTTTTTAAAGACTGGCTTATTCAGCAGGTTTGTGTCAGGCCTTCAGCGGACAGGAAGCGTTTTTAAGGAGGTTCTTCAATCAAAGACTGCTGTTAGACAAAAATTAAGCTGCAGTTAATTCACTGCTAGGGTTCTTCTATGTGGATCCATGAGTTCTTCCTGTTTGTAGAAAAAAAAGTTTATCCTCAGTTTTTTTATGTTTGGTTTTTAGTATCGGATGCTGATTTATTAGTTATCAATGTAATTGTGACGAGTCAACCATAGAAATAAGTTAGCTAATTCAGCAATTGATAGTTAACTGGAATATACAGATTCAAAAAGGGCCATTTGCTGTCCGAACACAATCTCAGAACAGCGTTTAAATATGTATAAAATTATCTGTACATTTTGCCTTTAAGATCAAAAATCTTTAGTAAATATGTTTTTACCCAGAACTCCTCAAGTTTCAAGTGACTATTTTAGCTTATAGGTTTTTTTTTTTTTTTGATAATAATTCCCCCCCCCCTTGAAAAACCTCTTATTTGCTATCCAATTATTAATCAATTAATCAAATAGATAATCAGCCGGTTGGCCCTGACAAGTCCAGCAGAAAAGACTTGAATTTTCACATTGTTAGAAGAAGTTTTTTTTTAGCTGCTGATGCATCCTTTGCTACAAATGCTCAAGTGTTGCACTTTCGAAAAAATGTATTTTTATTACCGACAAAAGGAACTGAGTTGTGTATTTGCATCTTTTTATGTATTCCTAATATTGTATTAAATAAGCCGTAATTAGCTAAATGAAAAAGATGCAGAATGTGCCAATATTTCTTACCCGATTAATCTACTATTGAAATAATCATTCGTTGGTTTTTTTTGTTTTCTCTTTACCCTGAGGTCACAGTTTGGCCAGTTTCTTTAGGTTGCACTAATAGACTGAAGCTTGTTATGGTGTTTCATGTGGCTCACATGGATCACCTTTACATATCCCCTCATTATGCATAACAAAACATGAGCTTTTTGTTTTCACTTTTCTGTCACACTTAAAGAGACAGGATTATGTTTTCTTGACACATAATTTCTTGATCATGCTATAAAATGTCACTATATTAGCAGAATGGTTGCAATGGAGATTAAAGGATTTCTCAAACATGTATGAAAGAATCAAGGAAAAACTCAGGGTATGTTTTTGTTGAGGAGTAAGATTTCATGTGATGTAACGCTCACAGTAATGTTTTTTCATTTAAAAATTTTATTTCAACAAAGGTAACTGGAGTATATAAAATACTAGAGTATATTAAAAACTGAACAGACCAAATGAACAGTGATTAGCCTATTGTTAAATTTTTTGGCACAGTTAAACAGACAGGCCACTTAAATAGAGCCTCTCTGACAACATGAAGTAGGCTAAATGATCTCAGTCATCCTTCTGGAAATATTATCTGGAATAATGAGACAAAGGTGGAACTTTCAGGAGAGCATTTCTCCCATTATATCTGGCATAAAACTAACAGCATCTGTAGTTCCTCCACTTTCTCAATAATTTGTTCATTGGAAACAGAAACACTGAGTACTACTATTTATATGTGTGGAAAAAAGTGAATTACATGCTGTACCATCTGTCTGTTCCTTCTTTAATAGCCTGTGAAAATGCAGCTTTACTCTGAAATATGATCGTTAAACCTTCTTCTTAAAGTCATTTTAGAAATATACGAGCGGCCCAGATGGAAACACCCAGCAGTGTTTTCCGTCATGGGTGTCTGCTGGACTGCATGCAAAATACTTGAGCTCGATCCGATGTGGATGAGTGATTCCTGTGGGCCGGCTGCAGGCTTTCTGTTTGTGTAGGCTGCGCTGACGTTCTGCTGAGCTGCACTGGACGACCTGGTGTGTGTTGGATTCCTGGCTTTCTTAGTAAATGTGATGTTTGGGATCATCGCCGGTCTGATCTCTGCAGTCGGCGTTTATAACGTTATGATTCAGGCTGAGCACCTGCATTGAAGCTTCATTTATCCTCCAGAAGCATCTGGAACATGACATTACTGTTACTATATAACTAAGGTCGAAGCGATTATTGAAACAATCGTCCACTACTTATGTATTTGGTTAGTCATTAAGTTCAGCGTACTGGCTCTAAAAAAAGTCACTTTACTGAAAGAACAACAACATCATAAGAGTAGTTCAGTCAAGACTGTACAATATTTAGCATTTAAGATAAAAACCGTTCCTTGTCTGATAATTTCTTTTAACTAGAACTCCTCAAGTGGAAGATTTGGCTTCACCAGGTTCAAATTCTGCAAAAAAAAAGAAAAAAAGAAATATCCTATAATCACTTTTTGCTATCCGTTATTAATTAATTAAATAATCACCATATAATTTCTTTACTGTATTAAGTCAAACAGAAAGGGCTTCACATGTTGATGTTAGAAGTATTTTTTTTTTAGCTGCAGATGCATCCTTTGCTTCAAATGACCAAGCGTTCGAAAGTTGGAGGTTGCATTTTGGGCAATTAAATGTTTTTCTTATTTAAGAAACTATTTGAATTGTACGTTCATCTTTTAATGTATATCTAGCATTGTAAAAAAACTATGTGGTTAAATTAAAAAAAGAAATCTGCAGGATGTGGCTATTTATCAGATTAATGGAAAGTCACAATAATCTATCACTAAAATGATCATTAATAGAACATTAACATTTTAAAATGTTTTTAACTTTAATTGATGTCTTTGGCCTAATTGATTGTTTCAGCCTACTTTCTGTTCAGATTTATAACAGCAGGTTTGCATTAGGACGCGTCTTCATGACGTTGCTCCTGCATCTTAAACTTCAGCAACTGGTTAGTCTAGCAAATTGAGCAATGTAGCTTAAAAAACAAACTATAAAACGGCAGTCTGACTTTTTAAAAAATATAATTTCAGATTAATTAATTCTGTATATGTAGGTGGATGCTTGCATTTTCATCATAATCACTCAGTAGCTTTGAGAGAAAAGTCAACGTGCTTTAGTTTAAGTAATTCTCCTTTCGTACACATGTTGAATGAAGTTAATAAAATATTTGGATCCCGGTGTTGCTGTTCACACCTTCCTAGTTAATGTTCGTTACACATTACCAGAGTTGTTGTATTTTGTCCACAGTTCAGCCTTGATTCCTGAACTCGGACTCTTATTCTTTCATAATCATAATCAGTTTATCATGACTGTTTCCAGGACATTAAATAAGTCAGAAAATGTAAATATTTTGTGTTAAGAGTTTAATTGTGTGGCTCTGTAAACAGTAAGGTTGATTTCCACCATCATCATTCTGAATTTCTGGGATGAACGCAGATTAGCATTTGGTGAATCTCCAGAAATCATTTCCTTAGATTTTTCTGTTTCGTTTATGTTCTTGTAAATGTTGTAAATCAGTGCTGGACTTTACTTTCACTAAACTTTGTCAGACTAACGTCAGTCATCATTGATCTTGTACGGATGTGTGTTGAAACTCCCGACCCGACCCGAGGCTTTGCTGTGTGAATGAAGCGTCGGATTCATCCCTGAGCTTCACGGCGTTTTAAGGGGAGCCTTCAGCGCAATGATTGTGTGATTTTAGTGATTCTGCATGGAGACACTACCAGAGCGTGAAGCGGCCCGTCAGCCTGAGGCCCGTTCAGTCAGAAGCTCCTCTCTGTGCTCTGTTCAAACATTTATCCAGACTCAAACTAATCCATTACTCCAAAGCAAATTGGACATGATGCCTTCATTAGAGAAGGAGCTGTGATTTAACCACTGCAGTGGCTTTACTACTGTGGTACTTTAGTTAAAAAAGGACCTTCAGAAAGTTTTTGTTCCTCTGTCACTGTGGTTACTCCATGTGTCTTTACTTCCTGCTGTTTCCATGGTATTAAACCTTTTTCTCTTCCTTTTCAGTGTCATCCAGACTCCATTACCACTACCTATAGACAAGGTAAGAACATGTGTTGTTTTATATTTAAATGTGAAGAAAGGGACCAGAACAAAGCAGCTAAATCCGTTTAGCATTAAACTTATTTATCAATGGTCCTTGCTTTGACATTAGTTACTTGATAGAGGAATGCAGGTCTTCTTCTTCACATTTTTCTCAGTATGTGGTTGAATTTTCTGTCTGTTTACCAATACTAATTCAATCTACATTGTAATCAAATAAATATTTGGTTTTGGAAATAAACTTTCCTCTTGCATGAGAGTTTGTTACAGACAAACTCAGTAACTATTTTAAATAAAAATAAAGTTCAAGATGGATGAGTTTCTCAAGACCAGGAGTTGTATTTGTGCAGACTTCAAATATAAAGTAGTAATTTGCATTTCTTCAAACATAATGAGTTAATTTTAGATATTTTGCACCTTTGACATGTGCTAGTGCTGTGTTCACACAGCAGGACATTGTGACTAAAAATTTGACTTTTTCATGACAATTGAGCTTTTTATATAAGAAAAAATGTAATTTGTGTCAGTTCAAGATGTGGAACTAAATCAGATATATTTTTAATAATTTTCTAAGCGTCTGCAGTTAGAACAGTCGCATTTTGTCCAACTTTATAATGTATCATAATTCTGCACCAGAAGGAGTCAGTCTCTGTAAATATGGACATAAACAACGGCTAAAGAAAGCATATTTACATTTTTATTAGTTTTTATTTGCTTATCTGGTCATGATCATGTGACAGTAATTTCTGCTCTGAATGATTTAGTTTCTGTCATGTCTGCGTTTTTGTTTCGTGTATGTAAACCGTTCACACAGGAGTCTGATTGCGGTCGCAGTTATTAACATGAACGACCACGCAAAAATACAAAATCTAATTTTAACAAAATATTGGGAATTAACCATACAATATCTGTGATTTAAATAACATTTTAGTTCCCTCATGTAGATTATCTCAAAATTATCTCCAAAATATTTGTTGTTTTATTTAATTTTGATCTAAGAGCAAAAGGAAAGGCTTGGAAAAAAAATAAACAATTAGAATATTTTTATTGAAATGAAACGTCTGGCATTGAGTTATTAATGTTGATGCAAAAATAATTTATAAAGTAGAACAAACTGTATTTACTGAATTAAACACCAACTTGTTTTTAGAAAAAAGTAAGAGCAGAATGAAGAGTTAGTTGCTTTGGTAAATATTTAACAAATTATGTTTGGTTTCAAAACAAAATGCTTATGTGATGCTCATCCTTTGAGTCATTCCATGCTGAATGACTCAAACTTGGGACTAAATGTTTTTAATTCAACCATGAAGCTTTTATTCTCTGTACTTCTGTTCTGAAAAGACACTTCTGCAATTTCCCTCCACTTTAGTTTTGTCACGAGTTTCCATTAAATAAAAATTAAGCAGCTAAAAGGGCACCATGGTCAACCCACTGCATTCCTTAGTTTCTGCTCATAAAACAAGTTTTTCAAGCTGCTTCTTCCAGCTCAGACACACGACAAACTGCTCCTCTGCAAAACTCGCCTAGTTTTCTACCAGCAGGAAAATACAGCCTTTCATAGGTTTGTTTTGTCTACAAAGGCTGAACAGAAACGGTTAACATCCTAAGTTACATAAGGCACCAATTTATAGCATAAGGTGGTTTCTGAGACAGATTTAAGCCAATTTCACACCAGATCCTACTCTGTTTTTATGGATTTCCGTTAGGAAATCAATACTATGGTCCAAAGACAAGGTAGCAGAAAAGAAAATGCATAAAAAATTTCTCAACATTCTTTTTTGTGATGACCCCACTCACATTGAGGTTGGTAACACATTGAAGTGGAAAACGACCCAAACGTTTAGAGAAAAGTCGAGTTTAGTTGAGAAGTTTCTAACAGCAAGGAGCCATTCTATGCAGGTATATATAAATATTAATGCATTTATTCCTTCACACTATAATTAAAATATATAAGGGCCAAACAATATAGCTGAAAAAGTATCACAATATATGCATTTATCAGTCAGTATTGATAATTTATTAGTGTTTTGTTTTAAATATCTGAATTACAGTCACACTGGAGGCGTGAACCTTTCCTGTTTTAGCCACAGTTTTCACTCCACGTAGTTATTTTTTTGAGGCACAGGTGTGAAACATGAAACTGCTGCTGGGCCAGTTACTCAGTGGGTTGTTGCTTGGCAGCCAAAGAGTGAGAGGCTTACCAGGTGAAATCTTTCCCCTTCCTACAGCTCCCAGAATGCTTTGCGGTTCAGTCAACATTCTACCTATGAAATATTGCAGCAGACGCATTATCTATTTATATGTCCATCTTGATATATGTTGATATCAATTTATTGTATAGGCCTAACAAATAGAATTAAAATTATAGAAAAAGTGAAAATTAGAGAATAATAAAACAGATTTAATACGTTAGGAGTTTGGGTTTAACCTCCTGCCTTTCCAGTGAGTCCGTAATCTGAATATGGCGGACCATAAAATCCTGCATCGCTCAGTGAAATGAGCCATTTCGTCTGATTTACAGTGGAATCGGCAGTCTGGCAGCTGGCCGTCGCTTCAAAGTGCACTACTGTAATAAATCAGCAGGTTACTGCCGTGTAAAACGTGTGTGGCTTTCTGATATACGCCGCTATGCTTCGACAGAATTCAGTGTTGTTCTGTACGAAGGTGTTCCTGAGCTGTTTTCTGTTGATGCAACAGACGCTGCGTCTACCTTTGTGTGGACGGATAACGGTTCACTGTGTGTTAGAACGACGTGCGGCGCAGCGCCTGCTGCTGCGTCTCCGTGTTCAACAGCTGGGCCTCAGTGGAGCCTGGCTGAGGAATGCAGGCTGATGTGTGAGTGTATTTGGAAGGAGCTGTGATTAGATTTAAACCTCTTCTCTGATATAATTAACTGTCCTGAGGCTGGATCGTTGCTTCCAGGGCTGGCTGTCGCAGGCGCTCTCTTTCTCTCTCTTTTTATCAACCCAAAAACTAGATGAAAGTCTTCACTCTGGTGCTTTGGTCTTAAATAGCCTTTTTAAGGACAGTTTTGTTTGCAGAGGCTTCATAAATTAGTTTAGTTCATTTATTTTGGATATTTAAACTGTCTCCCAGTTGCAGTGTTATTTGTTCATTAGAATTCAAAGTTATTGGTCTTTGAGAATGTGTTCTTGCATTATTATACCATTAACATGATAAAACTCAAAAATGTTCTCAAGACTACAATTTTATCCTTTATCTCAATAAATTCTGGGAGAACTTATCCAGCAAGTGACAGTCCTAGAAGTGGATGATTGTTTCTCAGCTGAATTAAGTTAATAAAATCCTGATGGGTCCAAAAACAACTTTTTTGAAACCTCCTATCTGAATGATTTCATGATTATTTTGGATGACGAAAATGCTAGTTTTTCTTTGGCTATAGTGTTCTTTCGTTATGTTGCTTTTGATGTTGTGAAATGTTATTTTGTAATAAATGGGAAGCTAGGCATCATTTACATATCTTTAGTAAGTATTTCAAAAAAACAACTCACATGGATCCCAACAATGTCTTGTCTGACTTTGAAGAGGAAACTGACCCATATACTAACAAGTTTGGTTTTTCTCAGGTAAATTCACCCAAAAACCTCAAACATTGTAGAACTTCTTCACATTTAGTCAAATATTATTTTAGAAACGCTCGCGCTGTTCAGAGTAAGTCATTTATACAGCAGGGCGAACAGACGCCACAGGTTGAACATCAGATCCTTTATCATGCTTGTTCGAAGGAGTTTTTTATTGCTTCAGTAGTGAATAACTGCACATAAAATGCTTCACTTAATTTTTTTTGTCCACAACAGTAAAATTGCTCCATTGTTTTTTCAGTTTGTCTTCCTCAGCTCACCGCTGCCCTGAGCGCTGCCCCTATATAGACATAACTAGTTGTTTTTAATACAATGGGATGGCATTTATAGGTTCCACTGAAAACATTTTTTCATTTGTAGTCTTGTTCCTCATTCTGGTTCTGATGTTGAACCAACTCCGAACAGGTTCCAGTATAAAAATGAAACCATTTGGTTTCAGAGTTTACTTTCATCTTTACATTGTTCTTGTATGTTCTAGAACGCTACGCGTTTTCCCTCTGGCCCGTCAAACAGATGAAGTATTGAGCTTTCCTGGTCTGTCTCTGATTTATCTAGGTGGCAGCCAACACTCCCAGTATGTACTCTCAGGAACTGTTCCAGCTCTCCCAGTATTTACAGGTAAAACACTGACACCTACTGGCTGTTCTGTGGCAGTACACCCAATGTTCTCCATTTAAATTAGATATCACTATTTAATTTGTCTTTAAAAGTATCAAATGGCATGATGCCACTTTTATTCTTTTTGATGCTTTCTCTTATATTTATTTCCTTTACTTTTATCTGTTGTTGAATGCTTTCTGTGCTATTATTTGCCTTTTAGGAACATTGTGACTTTATTTTTTAAAATGTTTAATAGCATTCTTATTTCAACTTTTAACTGTAGCTAAAAGTTGCAACAATCTATTATTGAAACCGTTTTTTCAACAAATTAAAATCACACTTCCGAATCTTAAAGATCATCTGAAAAAGAAACTCAGAAGATGTATTGATGTTATCTGGAGTAATGCTTTGCATTGTAGCTCATTTAAAAATTGTCAATCGTCGTTTGCGGAGCAGATGACTTGGAAAATGTCTGTTTCTGCAGGAGGCCTTACACAGAGAGCAGATGTTGGAGCAGAAGCTGGCCACTCTGCAGCGGCTCCTGTCCACCACTCAGGAGGCTTCGGAGAGCAGCTGGCAGGTCGGAGCCACGAAGCCCTGAAGCTTCCACTGTATCTCTGTTTATTTATTTATTTGCAATAAAAGCATGTGGATTAAGAGTTTACAGTAGAATGAGCAGTCTTATCTTTTATATATTTCTAATGTAAAAACAGCTTTTTAATTTTATGGTTGGATAACTTTGAATGAAAGCACACAGATAACATCGGGTTTAGTTTGTCAGACAGTAATTTCAAGACAGGAAGTTGAAAAGTCATTTTGAAGCACTTACTGTGAACCCTAACCCTCCATCAGGCTCTGATAGATGAGGACCGGCTGCTGTCCAGGCTGGAAGTGATGGGCAGTCAGTTACAGGCCTACTCTAAGGTAAGAGCAGTGAAAATGACTGCGGTAGGCCGTAAAACAAGTACACCCAGGTTTTTACAATTTTATTCACATGCCTTTTTATTATAATCAGTTAGACAGATTCACTGATTATATTAAGGAATCCAAGATGCTTTTTCATGCTGTGACAAAACTACAAGGCCCATAATGCACAGCAGCAAACATCCGGTTAGTTAGCTTAGAGAATTAAAATCTAAAGTTCTTGCAGTCCAATGGATTGTTTTGATTGTAATAATTGTTGACTATTGTAATCCAAATGTTGTAAATTTGAATGTTTTATACTAATACAATATTCAGTCATTTGACAGATTATGTTACTCCAAAGGCTAAAGGTCAGTTCAAAAGAGAGGAAAGGAGAAAATGGGCAAATACCAATCCTGATATTGTTGTCGCAGGTTTTTTCCAACATTGTTGCCATCGCAGATTTTTTTAAATATTCTTCAGCCTCAAAGTGTTGATGGTCAGTCATGTAATTTACTGTGTGCTCTGTATAAAGGGTTGAATAAGAATTAAATCACCTGCCAGAGCCAAATAACAGAAGTGGACTAAGTTATATTTTTTACTCATTAATAATAAATCACATCTTCAGATGTTACATTTCCTTCATGATTGAAAAGGATTTGGTAGAATGTTTGTGTTGTGGACCTCAGGAAGAATAGTTTCTACTGAGGTCCACTGAGTGGGGATCCATAAATAAACTGAACTGATGTGCAATATGTATTAATTAATCTAATATATTTATTGTTTATTGCTCTTTCACTCAGTAACTCCTATATAATATTATTTTGGATAATAAAAATGTGAAATAGAGGTTAGAGCTTTAGAATTAACTTCTATCCACTCTTAACAAATCAGGAAAGCGCTTCATTAAACTGATTTCTTGATTTTTCTGAACTTTTTAAAACTTTCAGTCGCAGACAGAGGAAGGGATCCGTAAGGAGCTCCTGGCTCTTCAGGAGGACAAACACAACTACGAGACCACAGCGAAGGAGTCCCTGAGGAGAGTCCTGCAGGAGAAGATTGAGGTGGTCCGGAAGCTCTCTGAGGTTGAGGTGGGTCACCAGGATGTCGTTTGTTGGATGCATTTCTGTTGTATTTCTTCATAAAGTGTGTAGGTCTGTAGCCGCTGGTTTCCTCTGGAGAAATGAAGTTTTATCGATGTTGTTTATGCTGCAGTGCATTCTGGGTGGATGATGCATGCTAGGTGCTCCAGCGCTAGCTCTGTCCAGCCAAAACAGTGATTTTTGAACAATGAGTAATTCTCAGATCTTCTAATTTGAACTAAAGCTTGTTGAAATGGAAGATAATGCAGAAATGATGAAGGGAGACGAAGATGACTGTTTTACATCGACTTATTTTTCACGCAATCCTGGGAGGAACCAAGAGGACCCCGAATAAGGGGTAGAGTTTTTTTCCTGAAAACACAAAAATGTCTGACCTTTACATTTATTAATGTAAAGGTCAGACATTTACATTTAAGTGTAAATGTCTGACCTTGACATTTACATTTATATTCCGGAGCGTTGAGCTAGGACTGTGTGAGGGTTACCTGCTGCTAATTCCTCATTGGCTATTCCTAACACTGGTAGCTCTTCCTAATGGTATTAGCGCCTCTTAAATGGAGGATCTTGCTATCAGCGTTGACTCCTGCTAATACAGTAAACAGTTTATTACAAGCCATCTAGTATGTTTGTTTCAACAGATACTTTGTGTACAGCGGCACATGAAAACTTTGAGTTAGTTTCTCGGTGCAGAGGTTTTGCAGGCTGCCCCCATCAGCCTCTATAACCTTGACTACTTTTGTTTATAGACTTGAAGTCACTATAAACTATCCTGACGTAAAAACATTGCCCTGACAAAAATGGCCGCCTCTATAAGTGAAAAATATAATCAAGATGCACAACTTTTGAAGTAATTATGAGTTGTTAACCTGGAAGTCGACCTAAATTACCTCAATTACATGTTGAACTGAATTACATCACATTTAAGTCGACATGTTCAACTAATTGGACATGTTGGATCCCCTTAAAATAAGTGAACAGTTTTATGCAAAAACATTTAATATTGTGTTAATCAAGATATTCAGATGGAGAAAGTTGCTGTTTTTGTGACAAATGGAGACATAAATCATGTAAAAGTTGAATCATTGTATGTGTCCGCGGCGCTGCGGCTGCTGTTTAGAAAGTTGTGTGTTTGGCGTCGCAGCGGTCGCTGAGCAACACGGAGGACGAGTGCACCCACCTGAAGGAGATGTCTGAGAGGGGCCAGGAGGAGCTGCAGGAGCTGGCCAACAAGTACAACGCTGCCGTCAACGAGATCAAGGAGCTCACCGACAAGATCAAGGTGCTCAGAAACTCTGATTCATTTCGAATCCTGCTATTGATAATAATTTGAAGCTGATGTGTTCAAATACAAAGTATTATCTGTAAAGCTTAAACCAAAGACTCGCTTCACAAGATGGTCAGCTTTCCTCATTTATGCTTTTATTTTCTGTGTTGGACTTCTTATAAAATTATTATTACTTTATTTCCTTAATGTTACAACTTTATGCTCACATTATTTCCACTCTTTTGTCGTCCGACTTTATTTTTGGAATGTAATAACTTATAACTATAAACAGGGTTATTTTAGTAATTGAGTAATCTATTGATTACTCTATTGATTAATAGAGTAATCGAATAAACAATTTGATAAAATGAAGTATTGGTATGTTCTGCAGTATTTATATCGGATATCAACATGGGCCCAAATTTTCACAGATAATTTCTCTTGAGGAATATTAGTAACCAAGGTTCTCAAATCATTCAAGGAATATTTACAACCCTAATTATTACTTTATCCTTTTACCTATAAATAAACATTTTTTGCCTGGTTCTAATACTCCTTTATTACGTTAATCTGAAATAAACAGAAGCTGTAAAACAAGATGGCCGCCCTGGGGGTGCTGACAACACTGAACTATGGAAACAAAAAGAGTGCATTGATGGAAAAAAATTCAGATTTTTTTTCCCCCTCAAAAGTTAAAAATCCACCAAACTTTCCCTAATTGATCAAATTGATTTTATCAATTATCAGGCAGATCTAAATAAATTTATTTATTTATTCAAACACTGCGCTCCTTCCCTGCGTTTGCTCCTGTATTCCTGGCTGGTTCCACATTCTTCCTGCTCACTTCCTCTGCCTTCACAGTTGACCTTCTTGTGTCCTTGCAGGCGGCGGAGGGAAGGCAGGAGGAGCTGACACTGCAGGGAGCGACGGAGAAACGGGAGCTGGAGATGCGGATCGAAGAGATGGAGGAGAAGGAGCAGGTTCTGCAGGCCCGCATCGAGGCTCTGCAGGCCGACAACGACTTCACAAACGAGAGACTGGCCGCCCTCCAGGGTACACACACACACACACACACACACACACACACACACACACACACACACACACACACACACAGAGCTATTGTCTCAATGGTTCATCACACCAACGTTCAGTGCCTGCAAAAGTATTCACACCCCTCGACCGTCTTCACATAATTTCCTCAAACTTTACTGAATATTACCTGATTTTATCCAAGTCGTGGAAGGAAAATTCTGCAGGAGTTTCCCGTTTTTTGCTAATAAAAGTTTGAACAGTTTATAATGTGTATGATCTAATGTGAAGGTAATTTAGGACAGAATCTGGTCTGTCGATGGGAAGCAGAAACAGGAAAATTTTGTTACCTAAACCTAAATCCAACTGAATCTGTTCAGACTTCAGTGATTTTGCAAAAATGATCAAAAACTTCACTCTTTACAAACATATATCTGTAACAGTTGACAAATGTCACTTAAAGCAGTACAATTGGTTCTTAAATTTGCCTAATAAATGCATCTGTACATAAAATACCATAATATTTTGTGTTTTTATTTTGGAAGAGGAGTGTGAATACTTATGTCACACTCATTCGGTTGACTCTTAAAGCTACAAAGTTAGTTTTTAATCGAGTCTTTAACGTAAAATCTGACTCATTTATCTCCATAAAGGAACTAAATACTGTGATTTCAAACATAAAATCTTTTATTAAACTTTAAATCCACCTGCAGCATTGTGAGGTTCTGTTGGTCAACTCTTTTCTCTGCTGCTGCTGTTGTTGTTTTCAGTGCGGTTAGAACAGCTGCAGGAGAAAAGCAACAGTATTGGTGAGTCCACATGTCTCTGGCCGGCTCTTGGGACAACATGTCCTCTCTTCTTCACCGTCCGTCTGCTTCTCTTCTTCATCCTGCACTAGTGATGCATGGCGACTTCCTGCATGAGTTGTTCTCCTTTTCTGTTGCTGGCTGTGGCTCTGTTCATCTGTCTGCTGTGGTGGAAATCTGGCTTTTCTTCTGTTTTCATTGCGTTCATTTGGGTTCAAGCTTCGTGGTTCCTTTGGTCCGTTAGAGGCCGATATGTTGAGTCACTTCTAGCTTCGAAATGCTGTTTGTAAAACGCTGAATGTGTTCAGATGAAGCGTTTCTAATAGTTTTAATTTAAAAAATGTCATTATACTAACTTCTTGGTTCTTAAGGCAGATGAGTTAGCTGCTTAGTGCTCTAAAGAAATATTTTTCCAGTTTTAGTTCATTTTCAACTTTTTTTCTAATCCCAAAACTAATTTTAATATCAGACAGTAATATTTAATTATTTAAAAAACAGTTTTCTAGTGATTTTCATTATTGAAGGAAACAAATATCTCCAAACCAGCCTGGAAATTATAAATTAACTCAACCGCAAAGTTTGAAAAATAGGAAAGAAAACCTCGCCATATTTTGGGAAACCTTTCATATACATCCTCACAAAGTGCATTTAATAACGCCACATTTTTTAATGGTTCCACAATAACCTTCCATTACGTGTCCAAAGTGGGTCCGGCCGCTGGATCATAACATTGACACAAAACAGATTTATCAGCCCAGATGGCTGATCTGGATTATATTTTTATTTATGCAGAACCTTTCAAAACTAATGCAAATGTAAGTTACCCCACCAGCTATTATTCTTTTGTTGAGAACATGGAGCTTAATTAGAAAAAGTAATGATAAATGTAAAATGAAAGCTTTTAAATCTTCATTTTAAAAAAATAAAAGCTGGTTTTCATATTGTTTCAAAAGGTCTGAGATCAGAGGAGATGAAGAAGTTTGTTGTGCAGCAGCCTTGTGGTGTAATCCACGTGGATCATGATTGTGAATCTGATTTGTGATGATGCAAGTAACTGCTGGGTGTGTTTGTTTCTGAGGCAGCTTGTCTGAGGGGGCATGTTGGCACTCTGTCAGATCCAAACTGAGCTTCTTGGATAATCTGGGTTGTTTTTTTTCTCTACGGTTTCCAAACTGTCCACGGCTTTGTTTTTCCTTCTTGTGGGTTAAAAGAAGCTTTCGGTCACTGATTGACTTCTGGTGATTGAATGACGACACTGTCCTGTGAGCCCTGCAGGTGACTTGCCTCACTGCACACTTTGCACACAGTAGCCACTCTGCTGAAGGAGCCTGCCATGATTTTTATACTGTGTTCTCTGTGCATGTGTGTGGCTGGTAAACCTTGGACAAAACGGTCTATATATCTGATCTGGTCACATGACAGATGTCTACCCTGGATCGGTAGAGGAGCCTGTGGAAGTCAAACAGAGCCTGACTGAGAACCGGGACGAGGACGAGGCGGAAACAGACACCGATGATGGTGCAGTTGGTGAAGATGGAGAGAACGATGGTAGATTAATTATCTTAATAACAAAACATCTGTTTTGATTGAGACTTTGATTGAGCCCTCAGAAGTAAAACATAAACAAATAAGCCAGTAGGATGAGCAATGTCTGTTATGATATATTCGGCTTTACTGGGAGTGTAAGAGGAGTTCATCACTTTACTCATTTCTTCTGCCTTTTGTTTTTCTTCCACTGCCTTCTGTTCTCGATCGCTTGAAACTATTAACATTCTTACAACTGAATATTTAGTTTCTCACAGTGACTTGATAAAGTGGCACAAAAGCTTGTTTAGTGTTCAAACCCTGAAAACATCCAGGCAACCAGAATCAAAGGTCACCTTATTACTAAATAGAACTCACCTATAAGTTATTTAAATTGCAACTAACTTTGAGACGACAACTTAAATTTTATTATTTTTGACAAAAGTGGGCGGAGCCTAGACACTGGCGGGCGTTTTCAAGTGCAGGCAAAGAAAGAAGGACGCACTGTTGCCAACTGAATCTCTTTGTCACTATTTTTAGCACCTTTTCAGTAGTGACTTTATTTTGAAAAAGCAACAAATCTAGCAACTTTGTTCTGTGTTGTTGAAGACTTTTGTGATCACGTTTGGAGCAGAAGTTCCACTACTTGGTCATGTTGCAAATGAATCCCACATACAAAGCCAAAAAGCGCCACCGATGAATGCTTTCTCACTAGTCCAGCTCCTGACTTGCCACCGGTGCCGTGCGTCTGAGGCAGTGTTGTCGAGACCAAGACCAGAGTGTATCGAGACGAGACCAAGACTGTTAGGGTCAGAGACCGAGTCCAGACCAAGACCAGCGCTCTGTGGAACATGACGCAATAAAATGTAAAATGTGATCAAAATTGCTAATCAAATTGATCTGAAAGATTCACAATCCCATAAAAACACCCAGATATTAAATACTTAGAGCTGAAATAAATTTCTACTGTTATTAAAAGCAACTCTTTGTTCTGCTTATCTAAAAAGATAATAACCTGATCATTTATTAATGTCAGAAATCTGCACCGTCAGTGAGGCTCCAGTCCAGAGCTGGCCCAAGCCTTTATTTTCCTGTAGCATCAGTAACATTACTAGTTTTTATGATGGCATGCAAAAATAACACAAAAACGAGGATGTCAAATAATTTAGTAATTGATTATTAACTGGAGTAAAAAAAAACCTCCAGACTCAAAAAAGACCAACAGAGCAGTAAATGATCCAAAACTATAAAAATATATAAATGCATTTTCATTTAAAATAAAAACTTCTTTGTAAATATGTTTCAGTCAAAACGCCTCTAGTGGCAGCTTTAGCTTCACCTTCAATACAAGAATGATTTATTATTGCATTTTAAAAATGCTTGTCTTAAAGGAATCAAATGAGTTGTTTTAGATCTTTTAATGAATTTCTATTGTATAAAAAAGGCTTCAGTGGTTAAATAGAAAATCTCCAATTAATCATCAGAATAATAGATTACTTTAATCATCGTTCGCTCCAGTTGTGAGCAGGAGGCAAATGCAGCTGCAAAAGGCTCTCAGTTAAAATCCCAACAGAATTCACTGAGTACTTTTAAAAGTGCTAGCTTTGGATTGAGCCTCTTCTTCTTGAGTAAAATACCAGCCTCAACATTTGCTGCATTAAATCTACTGTTTTTATATTTGAATGGTAATTTGGGCTTAAAAAAGCTCCATAGTTGGATTCTCCCATAATGCCTCTGTGTGGCTGTGTTGGATCTGTTAGTTTTGTGGTCATGATGTCGGAACCGGTTGTTCCTTGTTTGCATCCTGATGAGGTCACAGTTGGGAAAAGAGAGTTTTACCTCAGCTCTTTCTGGCTTTGATTTCTGTCCTGTCTGGCACTTGTCTTTCTGTCTCTTGTTTTGTTGTCTGTCAGCGTTATGCGTCAGCTCTGCCATGTTTTAACCGCTTGAATCTTTGTTTTTTCTTTCTGTCGCTGAGTCCTCTCTGCGACTCTTCTAAGTGTAGCGTTGGATTTTTGGAACCCATTCAGCTCTACAGCTGCTTTTGATTCTGCTCATTTAAACTAGAAAATCTAATTTTACAGTGAAGCATAACCAGAGAAAGGTGGCGGGAATTGTATTCTGATTTTCCCACGCTGATGACAGCAGTCAGTCCTCCTCCAGATGAGATATTTGTGTTTCTGGGTGTGATGAGCAGAATCAAAAGCAGCTGTAACCAAAGTGGAAGTGGTCGAAGTTAAGTCAGTTCTTCTTGTTCCCGTCAGACAACTGTCATGTCAACAGTGGAGAAGACTCGACTAGAATCCCACAGTTGATTGAGTGTCCGCGTGAGTACCACCATGCTTTCCTGCTGTCCTCATCCATGTCCACGCCGCTGCCCCCTGCAGGCCTGTCAGGAAATGACATTAACAAGCTGAGGGAAAAAAAAACTTTGTCCACCAAAATCAGGATTTAGATTTTTCCAGTGAAAACATCAGAACACGCGACCTAAACTGAGTATCTCAACTTGTTTTATTCTCTGACTTCAACCAATACTTTGAAGTCACTTTTTAGCAAAGAAATGCATTTATGTTCCATTTTGCTTTCGGCTTTTGTTCTATTCTTCAGAACTGTTTTCATTCACACCTTGCTGCCATGACAACTGTCGTAACCCTTCGTTGCATAGATTGTAGTATAAGTTTTATGGTTAATTGCGATTGATTATTGAAATAATCAACTAATTTAATAATTGATTAATCATTATCTGGAGGATGCAGACTCAAAAAAAAGATAATTTGCAGAAAGAACGACACAGTCAGAGAGGATTGATCTGAAACTGCAAAAATATAAATACTTTGCATTCAAGTTAAAAATAAACCTCTGTCTGTAAATCTGTTCTGCCCAGAAATCCTCTAAATGGCAGTTTTGGCTTCACCAGGTTCGACTTCTGTAAGGAAATTGAAATGAGTGAATTTATATTAATTGTTCCAGTCGCAACTTCCTGTGGGGAATTTTTACGTGCCACCAGCTGTTGGTTTATCCCAGAAGGAAACTAAATGTTGTCATAATCAGCCAAGTATCTTCAGAGAGTTTTTGTGGATGGTGAAGCTGTGGGCAGGAAGAATCTCCAGTAACAGTCAGACTTGCAGCTCGTCTGAAAAGGCCTCTGACTGAAGACTGTTGCTGTATGACGGTCTCATGACATGTTTTGATATGCTAACGGCTCCATTTCCAGACAGCAGAGACGATATTTCACAGTATCGGTTTCCTGGATGACTCCATCAGTGTTTATGCTCTGCTAATCCACCTCATTTGCTTTTGCCGCTCCTCTTCAAATCTCTGAATGGTTTAAAATCAGGGTAGAGAGACGTTGGAGTTGGAGACATCGGAAGTTGTTTATGATCCAGAAAACGTCAGTTTTTCTTTGTTTTTCTAGAGAAATGATGGAGCTAATCACCGCTAACGCAAGAAAGCGAAAACTACAGCTCGGCAGTGACTCGTTAGCCAGTCAGTTTGCTCCTCAGTAAAATTATAAGTCAGCGTCTGACCTCTCTGAGCGATAAACACAGAGGGAAGTGTTGTCCTAGAAACCGAAGCAGCAAAGCTTGTGTTAGCATGACTCTACGCCTTTGCTCCTTCAGGAACTAACTCCTCACTTCCTGATCAGCCTTTTAGAGGTTTTTATCCTGATGAATTCAGAGTTAATTCCTCCACTAATAAACTACTGATGCAAAATTTGATACAATTTATGCATGAAGATAAAGTACTTCTAATTCTTTGTATATTTTTATTCTTATCAACAAACTTGTTTTGTTTTTTGGGGTTTTTTTTGCAGCCGTCAAGCAGCTGAAGGAGAACGTCTGCTCTTCGATACACAAACTGGCCAACTTTGATGGTAGGAGTCAACCTGCTTGTTAGAAATAAGGTTGAAATTACCCTTTTATGCTTTTTTAGGATTATTGTAGCAGCTGACATACTTAGTGTTTTATATAATAAATTTTAATTTATCCATACTTGAACCAAAGGCATGGTTTTAAAACAAAAGTTTTATTTTACTGTTCCACCAAATGCCAGAGAAAAGACACATTTTGCTAAATTGTCCCAGAAATTATTGTGATAAAGAAGAAAATTATTTTGATGCCATTTCCATCTCATATAAAGATATTGGTATGGTAATATAAGTTCTCTGTCTAAGACGACAAACTTTAATTTAGCTAGTAACACTCCACACATTTAAGAATCCAACATAACAACCAAAAGCAATAAATAAAATGAAATAGCTGCACACAGCTGAATCAAAAATGAACAATTAAGTCTCTGTAAGCAAAATTGCCCTTCAAAAAATATTAGAATGGATCAAAATGCAAAGTGCTTCGCACATTTTAATTTATTATGTGATTAATTAAGTAATTGCTTATTGCAACAGGCTTACAGAAGACTATTATTTTAATCTGGTATAAATGTAACAAATTAGAGCCCAGAATAATTATTTTATTACATAAAGTGATATTACTGTAAAAACTCATGTACTGGTTCTGATTCAAGACAGAACAAAGAAGCTAACTGTAAATTAGCATCGATGATGATAAAATAGGACTGTTCCTGGATGTTTGCAGAAGTGATGGATGCCCACTTGCAGAACAACCAGGCGCCAGAAGACGACCTGCTGGCCAGTCCCGATCGCCTCAAAGGTGAAGCTCTGACACGACACACCTTTAACGACGTCACCTGAGCGCGCTCAGTCTGCTCACGTTCTGCTCCCAACAGGAAACCAGATGGACGCCAAAGAGTCCGACATGTCCGACACGCTGAGTCCCAGCAAAGACCGGAGCAGCGACGACACGTCAGGTCAGCAGAGATCAGGAGGAGGGATTTCATTTTTAAAGAGGCAGAATTATGTCAAATTTACTTTTGTTTTTTAGCACTCCATCATGTTATAATGTTATTCGCTCATCAAAGACAAACCCCGAGTGTTGCCTTGATTTGTTCATGCATGTTTGAGAAATCCTTTAATCTCCATGGCAAGCATTGAGCTGTGAAAAACACCTGGTTGGACCGACTCTGCCTTCAAGGTGCAGCTCCTCTAAGCTGTGCTTTCCAAGCTCCTGCCTCACTGAGCAACCCTGAGCTTTGGATCTGAATCGTTTTGGTTGCTCCTCATAAAGCGTCTTTTCATTTGGTTTCAGACGGCAACATGAACGACCAGGAGCTGAACGAACCCCAGAACAGAGTCGCTCTCCTCAAAGGTAACACTTTTGAGGTTTGGGGCAGAAAAAAAACTACATTTTCAGACTTTATTTAGTTTTCGAAATGATACAAATAAATAAAATAAAAATAGTGATTTAGTTACTGTTTTTCACCTAAATGTATCTTATGATGCATCCGATTTATCCAGATTTTTTATTTTTTTGAGTTATAGATGATGAGTCTATAACATAAACACTTTTAAAAAGTTGTGTTTAGTTGCCTTTTAGACCTCTGGATCCTCCTGGATCAGCTTTAACGCCAACTATGCTTCTAGTTTATCCAGAACTGACAGATTTGGAAAGTACTTGATTTCTGAATAAAGTTCCTGAAAGTGTTTGATATCAAACTGCACAGTTTTGTAATAAAGTACAATCTAATGTTGGGTTAAAAGCTTAAATTTGGAAAACGTTATTTACAGTTTATACCATATATTCACATACACCTAATATAATTACAATGATAAGTTATGTTTTCTGTAGTTCAGTTGTATTGTTTCCATCTCCAAAGTGGTTTTGGAAATGTCTTTACCTTGAAATGCTTGAAAAGTGCCTGAAGGAAAAGTGAATAAAACCTGGTAGTAGTTTGGTGAACTGATTTGCAAAAATGTTTTAGATTTTAAAATTCAGCCATCTGCAGAATCCGGAGCCAAACGGACCCGGCTAACAGCTGGTGGTTTAAACTTAAATGTCCAGAATGTCCTGAGAGCGCGGCTGAAGATTTGAGTCTGTTGTGCTTTCGCGTTATTTATGATTAATCAATTATTGAGATAATTGTAAACTATTTACGCAGACTTAAAAAAGGCAATTTGATGAAAGAATGACGCCCTCGGAGCTGCAGTGAGGCCAAAACTGTGTCTAAATTTAAATTTAAAATAAAAAACACACTTTTGTCTGTAAATCTGTTCTTCCCAGTGTTGCAACTTCCTGGTTCAATTCTTAATAATTGATGACTGAAATAAGTGTTGGTTGCATTGCTTTGATTGGTTTTGTTTGTGTTTTTTAGCGGAGTTGAACCGGGCCGGTTTGGACGCTGGAGACACGGAGAACGTCATCAGCTACCTCCACAGAGAACTTCTGGAAGCCCAGGACTTGGCCAACACCGGGAAGCAGAAATGTCTGGAACTACAAGGTAGATTCCCTTTATCTGATCAGACAGCTGTCTTCTGGCTCTTCAAGTTTTAAAGTCGAAGTGTTGGGACTCTCTGTCTGCAGCTCTGTTGGAGGAGGAGAGGAGGAGTAACTCCAAGCTGACCGAGGAGTCAACCAAACAGATCCAGTACCTGCAGAGTGAGTACGCGCATTCGGAAAAGATGCGGTGGATGAGTCTGGTTCTGATCTGTCCCCTGGCTCTGTGTGGTGCAGCTCAGCTCGGGAAGCTGCAGGCCGACATGGAGGCCCTGAAGGAGCAGAGGGAGAGCACCATCTGCAGCACCAGGGAGGATCTGTACTCCGCCCAGGAGGAGGTACTGCTGCACTGCCTGAAGAATAACACAAAACATTCACAAAACAAACTCTGTCTGCATGGATTCCTGTCATCTAACATTACTTTTGTCAAAAATTTTTCTTCCAAACTAATCTCGCATATTATGTGTTAATTTTTTGCCTCGCAGGGCCTTCCTGTCTTCATTGCGTTCTGTGACTTGAAGTGGTTGCAGCTACCGCTAACTGCTAACAAGCCCATGCTAGCTATAACTCTATAGGAATGTTTCTAATTTCATTCTGCAGAAATGACATTAGAAACATGAGTAGACCAGGTGTTTAAAGTAGCTGATCAACCACTGCACTGCTGGATTAGCTAATAGCAGCAACAGTTGATAAACTACAGCGATCACTTATTAATAATCACATGACAAACATCAGGCCTAAATATATAAAACTGAAATGGACTGAATGTTGTGTTTTTGTGTGATAAATGAGTATTTTTGGTACTGATATATTGTGTATAGCGGCGTTCTTTCATTGGTATGGAAACAAGTCTAGCCAACACACAGTGGATTATTTTTATTTTGACGTGACGCACTCAATCAATAATTCCGACATGTCGGGGTTTCTTTTAGCTAACAGAGTTGTTCTGCTGCTGCAGCGCAGCTGCGAACAGCATGCAAAAGAGTCGTCTTTTTATCCTCCAACGTTGTGCGCATGTGCAAAATGTTTGAGTGTTAACAATAGTCTATAATGGGCTAAGTGTCCAACCACCGGTTGGTCGGACCACGTTGGATTCAGGGCTTAAATTTCATCCAGGAAGGTCTTAAAAAGTCTTGAATTTGCCTTGGTGAATCTTGGTGGATCCACTCACCCTGGTTCTGTTTCGGCTGTTAGATTCTCGTCCTGCGACACGCCATGGAAACGGCCACAGCTGAGCGTGAGCGCGAGATCGCCGCCTTGCAGGCAGACCTGGGCGGCGTGCGCACGGAGCTGGAGCATTGGAGGAGCACGGCGGCCAAGTACGAGGAGGAGATCAGCCGGCTGCAGGAGGCCTTTGCTCAGCAGCAGCAGCAGCAGAACACGGCCAGCCAGCTGCAAGGTGGCGCCTGCGCCCACATCGACGTCCGGCTGCGCCGCGGAAAGCTTCACGGCTGTTCTCTGTTGTCTCTTCCAGAGGAGTGTGCAACTTTGCAGCAGCGCTGTGCGTCTCTGCAACAGGACTGTGACGGTCTGAGAGCCGAGCGGAGAGACCTGACGGACAAACTGCAGCACCTGGAGGCGGAGCTCAGCAGGTACCAACACAAAGTCCGCTCAACGTCTGTAGAAAGAGCTGCGCTGATGTTGGCTAACTTCACAGGCTAAGAGGTTGATTTGTGACAATAACACTGTCACAGAACTGATGATCCACACACACATTTATGAGGTAAAAATGGAGATAATAATTATATGTAAAAGTTCTTGCTGTGTAAAATATTATTATTCAGGAGTGAGATTTAGGACTTTGTGTTTGGTTCACAAAAAATGTTTTCCTGACAATCACAGCTGGTAAGAAACAAAGATTCCCATTAAATTCCATAGGAAATGAATTCGGGTCATTTTGGACCCACTCATGGAAGAAAGGCGCGTAAAAATCCTATTTCTTAAAATGTGTAAAAGGTACATTAAAAAAATTGCATAATAACATGTTAGTTGAGGAATACCTGGAATATGAAGAGATGAAAACTTTTCATTGCAAAAGGATCCACTTATGCATCAGAGGGTTAATATTGATGGTGAGTTACTGGTTCCGGTTCTGGACCTGAATGTGTCGGTTTGTGTGGTTTCCAGTACCAGGGAGCAGAGTCTGGTCCTCAGCAGCAGTCTGGAGTCTCTGGAGAAGCGGAAAGAGGTTCTGCAGGACCAACTGGGTTCTCTGGAGAACCAGCACCTGGAGGACGCCAGCCGGCTGAAGACGCAGCTGGACCAGGCCCAGGCCCGAACACACACCCTGCAGAAAGAGGTTCGCCACTGATCCGCCGTTTGCCACGGTGGTTTGCAGACAGGAAGTGACGCGGGTCTGCTCTCTCTCCCCCCGCTGCAGTACGAAGACACTCAGTCTCAGCTGTTTGACCTGCGGCGGCGCTACGAGAAGACGGAGCAGGAGAAGCTGAACATCCACCAGGAGCTGGAGCAGTGCCGCAGCAGCCTGAAGCTGCTGCAGGACAAGACCAGCTCTGTGAGTCCAAACACAAATAAAATCGTCTGTTCGGATGGAGGATTTTCTCTCCCTGCTTGGATTGATGAGCTGCGCAGCGTAAACAAAACATATACTAGAGTAGCACTACTTCAACAAATTTTTTTCAAGTAAAATTAAAATGTAGCATTTTTATTTTACTTACACAAGTAGATGTGGTTGGGTAAATATAACTAGTTACAACCCAACTCTGTCAGGAAATGGTTTAAAACTATTTTAACAGATCAGCTGCTCATTTTCATCAAGAATAAATTAAATTCCTCCTCCCTCTTTCAGCTCACTTTATGTTTTGTTGTTTTCATTTTTTCCGGAGCCGATTTATGAGAAACTTGTTGGATTGTTTTTATGACCTAAAGTTCATTCGGTGAGGCGGAGCAGCTTCTTCTTCTCCTCTTCCTCCTTTCCAGCTGACTGTTGTCGTCGTCTCGCCGTCTTTATGTAACTCTGAGCTCTAAAGTAGGATTGTCAAAATAATCTGAACTATAAAAGTTTTTTAATCAATTATATATTTGGAGATTAATTGAATATTATAAGTTTCATGTCATAAGAGTTTTGATTTTTCATTTTGACGATAAATTCCCATTACTGATGATCAAATTGCCCCTATTATAGTTTTACTGCTTTCTCCACTGTTTGTGGCATTAATACACACTGATCAATACATTTGAAAATATAGTTACCAAGTGCAGTTTAGTGATTTAATTATTAAAATATTTTTCCAGACATTTGTGTGTTTTTGGGGCTTTAATTGCTGTGACACACAGTCACAGTCGTACACTTACCTAAAAAATGTAATAAATAGTTTTTATCGTTCTGCAATATGATAAAACTGCACTGCAAGTGGTAAATATCAGAACATAACATTGAACTTATTAGCATGATGCAACAAACTGTTTTAGTTCAGTTTAGTACGCAGCTCTTTTTGTGTTTTTGAGAAACAGGAAAGTGACATTTCAAATGTTAAGTTTACATAAATGACGGCTGAATTCTTATTAGTGCATGAATAAGGAAGTTAAACTGTCATTTCATTATTAATCGAATTGTTTATAAATGTCTGGTGTCGGCTTTATGACAATCCGACTTCTTAATATTGCAGGAAGTTTTCTTCTTCTGCTGAGGATGAAAAACATTTTTAATAAACTCGACTCCTTAACAGACATTGGAAATGCCTGAAGTCAAATAATGTGACCACAGTTAGATTAAGTTGGTGCTTCACTCGGCACAGTTAATTAAAATTAAAGCCAGTTTGTTGATATTTGTTCATGTCAGCTGATTTTCTCTGGTGTTTTGGTTCGTAAACTCGCAGCTCTTCAGGATGAACCGACACTCCTCCCACCCTCCTTTGTTGCCCCTCCTGCCCCGCTGCAGCTGCTCCATCCTCCATGTTGTTTTGTTTGGTTGATTTGCTGGCTGATTTCTTCTTATCCCTCCCTTCCTCCCTCTAGCCATCCATATTGCAGCCTGTCCAAGCCATATTCATGGGCCTTGTCCTGGCTCTGCTGTACTGGTGTTTCGGCCAGTTGTGGTAGAAAGGTACACACCGACATGACATGAGTCTGTCCGCTGCCTCCATCTGTCCGTCTGTCTCTGTGACCTCTGGAAGGAAAGTCTGCTGAGGTGAAGTTACTGTTCCGATCTGGGGTCAGTTCAGGGTCGCAGGTCGATCTGATCGCAACACTTTGAGTGAAAAATCAAACGTTTATCGTCACTTTTTCCTCCTCAAAGCTACGTACGGAAGAGGATCAGGGCCACATAATTCTTTTTATTCCATCCTTTTGCAGAACCACAACTCCAAATTTATACTTTAAACTTATAAACATAATGACTAATCACAGCGTTAGAGTGATTAATTTGATGAAATGCTTTCATTTATTTAGAATTTGCTTTGGATTTATTTCAGATCTAATGGAAAGAGACAAATAGAAACAAGTCAACAGTTCATTTCTGCTTCTTGACCTGCAGAAAAACCAGGAAAATCTGAGAAACCATGGCAACAAACATGCACATTTATAATAATAATCATTATTTCACTGAAAATTACCTTTTGCGAATTAAGACTACAAATATAATAAGCATGGGTGGTTTGTCGATACGATAATTTATCGATATATCGTTTATTCTGCGTTGATACTTCAGGGTCACTGACTCGGCTGGGAAAACCGAACCCTGAACAGATCAGCAGGACTTTGACTTCACCTCCTGAACTTCCTCTCTTCATCTTCATCTTCATCATGTGTGAGCAGCTCTGACCGCATGGCCGTCATTCACACTAAGATCCTCCAGGGGGCAGCAGACTCCCAGCACACATGGACCATTTATTTAAAGGGATACCGCCACGCACTGTAAAAGCTACTTCAACCTTAATAAAATTACTACAATTTAAAGCAAATGTAACGTAACACTTTTCAAAATAAAAGTCTCAGTTAGAAATGACTTCATTGTGAAATATTCTCAGATTTCAGTGAGTTCAATCATGAAACATGACTAAAGGAAACATCCTTCACATTACGACCGAATTGTTTCTTGATTGTAATAATGATAATCTAGTTATTGTTGGTCCAGTCAAAGCCCAGACGTGATGAGGCCAAACTCCTGGTATCTCTTTAAATCACTAACAGCTCCTCCGTTCACCGCTGCGCTCTCCTTCATCCTGTTTTTATTTTCTGCAGGATTTGTTGGTTCATTAATCACTTTTCTTTGCTGCATGCCGTTTGCTGTTTGTTTGCAGGTTTTTTTGTTTTGCTCTCAAACTGGGTTTTGTTTCCTGCAGCCATTGGCAGATTCATTGTCATTTCCATCGTTTGCTTTTTGCTTTTATTTGGTGCAGCTTTCTCTTTTTCTGCTTCTGTTCTTTAATTATTTCTTTTTTTTGTCTCCTGCAGTCCTAAAAGTGATAAATATGGTTTTCCTTTTTGTATATTTACGTTGTTTTCAATAAATTTATTTGCATTCCTCCTCCTTCTTAACCATCTGAGGGGAAGATCTCATTAAGAAGCCTTTCCTTCATGTCACAATGTTTGCAGAGCGCTGCCTGTTCTCAGCAGCTGCACATCTGTGGTGCGTTTGAACAGATGACAGGAGAATTGAAAGGTTGACTCGGTCTTGAACAGCGTTCAGGTATCCGTGATAAACGAGCCGGGCCTGGACGGTGCCGAGGTGCAGACAGATTTTTATGAAGCGGAGAGAAACGACCGTTCTGGTCGAGGAGAAGATGGAGAAAATTCAGCGCGTTTAGGAGTCCAAACCCGCTGGAAGAGAAACGAGGATCTGGATCAGTTCCTACCAGGACAGCAGACACCTGCAGCTGATTGAGACATTTTATTTCTTACAGCTTTATTCGCTTCAGTTCTCAAGTCACCAGAACGAGAGAACATGTTCAGAGCTGGTGTTATTTAGGTTTTAAACTCTAAATTATCATAAAATTAGCTCCAATAGGCCTGTCACTATAAATTGTCCCAGAAATTATTGCAAAAAACTAAAATCTTGTTGTTTTGGGACCAATTTCAAGTAATCTAATGGCAGGAACACAAAGATCTCAAAGATCAATAAACTTTAAATTCTACGGAACATTTGACGCTGGAACTGGAAGACATTTTAATGATCCAAAATAAATAAATGAACAAACAAAATGAACTATGGTGTGTCTGTAAGCAGCAGTGTCCTTCAGAATAAGGGCCGGTTGAGACCAAAGCACCAGAATCAAGACTTTGGTCATCCAGTTTTTGGTAGAAGGAGAGAAACGATAAACCAGGCGCATGGAAACTATTGAGTTTGTTTTAATTTATCATGTGATTATTTATTGCGACAAGCGTAGCAGGAAACAAAAAGCTCAATCCCTTTTCAGCTCTTCAATGTCCTGAGATTATTTTGGCTTTGCAGAGAAACTCCCAACAGATTCGCAGTTCATCAGCACAAGTAGAAAAACTGCGTCTGCAAGAATCACAGCCACCAAACAGACGTGGTTCTGTTCACAGAATCGCTGTCCAAACCGGAAAATTTAAACCACAAAATCCATCAAATAAAAACACAAAATCGTATCAAATCTGTTGATTAAAGATCCAAAACATAAAAATGGATTCTGACCTTTTATTAAAAGAAAAAGAGGAAATCTAAACATTTTCTGGAGGCATCAGTCATTTTTAATTTTCCTGGCCAAATTTTTATTGTTCTTGACTTTGATTAAAAATGTCATTTCAAGTGCCTAAATTGGCCCACGGGCCACCCTTTGGACACCCTTGATTTATAAAGCATGGCTCATATTTGTCAGCTGGATTGTGACCCGGTACCACTTCAGGTCCAATGAAAAGATTAGAAACATGGTTTTAATTTAAAAACAGAGAATAAATATTATCTTTTGGACTGACTTTTACCTCTTCTCTCATCCTTCAGGGTGATTTTCTGACGCTCTCTTTGGTCCTTGTTGGGTCTGGTTCTGCTGACTAACCGGGTTTGGTTCGTTTTTTGTTTTTTTCCCCGGTGACAGAGCGGCTGGAGCCCCTGGATGCCGGTCATCGCAGTGATGGTCGCCGTGACGGCAGCCGTCCTTTACCCCAACCTGTCCAAGAGCAGCGCTGCCTGAGACGCCGCCGCCGCCACCGCCACCGCGCCGCTTTCTGTAAAAAAAACAAAACAAACACACAAAAAAAAAAGAAAGAAAGATTGTACATAATTGTAGAGGGAACGTGGAGGTCGTGTTTCCTGCAGAGGACTCGGATACTTCCTGGTTTATTTTTTTGGATTTTTGTCATTTTTATTCTCTGACTTCTGGTCGGGTCTCTCTGGGTGACGAAGCGCCGAAGGTGAAACGTTCCAGCTCAAGTTTTTCTTTCTCTACTGAAACATTCACTGATATTTATATCAAAAATCTGCATCATTTACTCCAAAAAAAGAAGCGATTTCCCTGTTTTTGGAGCAGATGATTCCACGTTTGGTTGTTTCCGTCAACAGTTAACACTACCAGTCTGGGAAACGATCCACTGGAAAGCGTTCTCACTGAGGCGTCACGTTTTTGTTCTTCTTCGGGGAAATTTGGGGTTAAAACTTGAAGCCAAATTGTTAAAATTCAGATTAATATTTTTTACTTTTCTGTTTTGGTTTTTAGTTGTTTGTTTTTTCTGGGGCGCAGGAATCGGGGGGGTTTAAGTGCCTCTGATGTTACTAACAAACACCGCAGTTTGTGTGCAGAGAAAAACACACATTTTGACCACCAGAGGCCCGTCGGCGTTGGGAGTCGGACTGTGACGTCGTCATTTCGGCCAATAAAAACAGAAAATCTTCATCATCATCAAAATTTATCAAAGAACGGAAAGGTTTTGGTCATATTTGAACAAAAATAATCATAATATGAAAAATGCTTTCTGTATAAACTTATTTATGACAGTTTGAGTCCAAATCTTAACGCCTGGTTTTGCTTTTTCAACAAATCCAAGCGCGTCACAAACGGCAAACATGGCCGCCGACTCGTGGCGCCCGGGCCTCTGAACGTTTGTTTTTTATCCTTCAGCAGTAACGAGCTCTGTGGGTGGGTGTCGGTTCACAGGTCGGGCAACGTTCGTCATCATCCGTGTTAATCTGTCTCGTCTCCGTGTCGATTCAAATAATAATAAATAATAATAAAAGACAGCGAACAAATATTCCTGATGTTTAAAGAAAAAACACTAAAGTTACAGAGAGAATTGTAAAATAAAAGGTTGAGTGACGTGCGACTAGACTTATTTTGTTGAGACTGTGTAGAGTTATGAGAGGTGAGAGAGCTGTTGTAGAGAAATGTTATTGAATATATGCAGAGAAATGTTTTTGGATTAAAGTTGTAGCAAAGCTGACCCACCAAACCCGCCTGCTGCCTCTTTAATCACTTCTTATTCACTTCTTATTCACTTAGACAAGTGTTTTTACCGGAAATGTTCCCAAAAATAAGGTTAATTTTTCTGTTGAAGCTCAAAACGAAAGCCAAGATTTCAAAATGCATTGAAAGCAGCACTCTAAAAAAATCACTTTGTATCATTTTTAAATGAATAATTAGCCAGATTAAATATTTGGTTGCTTACCAACTGTGAAGCACGGTGGTGGTGGAGTCATGATTGGGACTAAAAGCTGGAAATTGAGCTGTTAGCATGAGACTGTCTTCTGTCAGAAGCATCTCCTGATTAGCTGTAAGACTGTTATTGGATGATAACAGTCATTCTTACCAAGTGCTTGTCTATTTTTAATAAAATATCTTTTTACATAAGTTAAAACTAACTCACAAATAACTTTTCAGCAATCTAATAAAGCTTGTTTTCAGTTAAAATTTATTTTTTAAAGTCATATTTCCATTGGCAGATTATTTCACTTGTAACACATTTGAAATGTTTTAAGTGTGATAATCTGCCATTTCTATTTAATCAATATCTAAGAGTTATTTGCTGAAAACAAGCTTCGTCTTGCTGAAAATTTAATTATAAGTTAGTTTTGTTGACATATTTGCTCCAGAAACTCATTTTTGCAGTACAATGATTTTAAATGTCCCGTTGTGCTGAATAATTTTACTTGGATTGTACCAAATTATTTACTGTATTTGGGACAAACATCCTATATTAAATGACAAACATGGCAGCAAATTTTCAACAACGCCTGAAAAAGAAAGAATCAGGCTCTACGATGGTTTAGTCAAAGTTTTCTCGTCTTTCTCCTCCTGTAATGCAGTAAGTTTTAATGTATTTTTTTAAGTAAGAATTTAACAGATTTTTCTCTTTTTGTGGAAAAGTTTGACCTGAAGTCAGAAATCTGGTGAATCTGGGTTTTGTTCTCCAGCTGTTTCCTAAACTGATGAGCGAAGGACAAAGAGTCTCTGAGTCGTTGAGTTTTTACAGTGCGGCTCGGTGAAGACCTGAGCAGGAGACGGGTCCGGACCCGAGTCCCTGCCGGCTCCCCGGGCGTCTCGGCACGGCAATCCGGCATCAATCACGGAGCCGGAGGAGGATCCGTCTTTACGAGACGGCTGGGACATGTCGGGGATTTGGAGATGACGCATAAATAAATCTACGTCTGCCGGCACAAAGGGAAACGCGTCAGCTTTATGAAAACAACGTTCTGCTTTACAAAACCAAACTTTTCTTTTCTCCATATAAAACCAAATGTTTCTGTCATTTAGTGTGTTAAAATCAAACTTCTCTTTTCTTAAGTATTTTTAAATAAACCAAACTTCTCTTTTAAAAGAATATATATATTTTTAAGTCAAACAGTTTCCTCTCTTTTAATCTTTTTATTATTTTGATCAAAAAACTTTTAATAAAACCAAGTTGTTATCTTAAATAAAATCCTATTTTCCTAACACATTTTTAATAAAACCAATTTTTTACTAAGATCAATATGTTCTATTTTTTCTGCCGTTTTTCATTCCTGAGGTTTTAATATAAAGTCCATTTTAACTTTAAATCATCTCAGAAATGCAGATTTAACTGAATGTGATGAGGAGGCAGAACCTTCATCTGGTTCTGAATCGATCGAAGCCGATCAGATAAACTTTATTGATCTGCTGGACCTGAAGCAGCAGAAACCAGGCAGCTTGATAATGACTCAGTTTGGGGTTTTTCCTTCTTTCAAACTGAAGCAAAATGGACCTTTAAGGCCTTTTTGTTTTACTCTATTCTTCATTTCCAGTGAAGAAGCTCCATATTAAATTCTCAAAACATTTTAAAACTTTTTGTGCTGCTAATATTCCAGAATCCTCCACCAGAATATTATCACTCACAAAAGGAAGAAGCAAAAACAGAAAATACATTTCAAACTTGCTGGATGTTTTCACTCAAACTCACTTTTATATATAAATGTCTAATTTGGCACATTTTTAATTTTGATGTGAAATAATTAAAAAGTGAGTTATAGTGGTGTAGATTAGTTACAAAGCTAATTTTGACATAAAACACAAGATAACTTGTTTTATATAAATTGAAAATCAAATATGCTTTTATCAATCCTGAAGAAAAATTAAATTTTAAGTCAAATCATTTCAAAGTTTACAAAGACAATTTTGAATTTACAATAATTTTATCTATTAAAATAAACATTTTATATTTTATTGTTTTTGTTGGTTCATTTACGTCTGCAAGTTCTAGATATATTTTCCAATTTCTTTTATTTTATTTCAACTGAATTTAATAATTAAGGAAAAGCATAAAATATTAAAAAAGAGTATATATTTGTTGCGAAAGAGTTGCCTCAGTCAGTCTTGCAAAAATGCTAAAAATCAACTCACTGTTGGTTTTAAATATTAGTAAAGTTGAGTCAGAATTGTGTGTCAAACAGAGAAAGAAAAGTCTGTGAATCAGAGGAGGTTATAAATTCCGAGCCGCAGTGAACGCAGCAGCAGCCCTATATTCTGGCCGAGTTCAAGCAAAGACTTCAAACCAAGTTGCGGCGGCTCCGAGGAAACACCTCCGGCTTCACTCACACTTCAACCAGAACCAGAACCGAACCCACCGGGCGGGGGGAGAGAAGGACGCGACATGCCGGCCACAGAGAAGGACCTGGCGGAGGACGCTCCGTGGAAGAAGATCCAGCAGAACACCTTCACCCGCTGGATCAACGAGCACCTGAAGTGCGTCAACAAGCGGATCGTGGACCTGCAGCTGGACCTGGGGGACGGCCTGCGGCTCATCGCCCTGCTGGAGGTCCTGAGCCAGAAGAAAATGTACCGAAAGTACCACCCGAGGCCCAACTTCAGGCAGATGAAGCTGGAAAACGTGTCGGTGGCGCTGGAGTTCCTGGAGCGGGAGAACATCAAGCTGGTGTCCATCGGTGAGTGACCGAGAACGGAGCGGCCTGGGCGGGGAGGAGGCTGGCGGAGGGACCGGGGGACCGGAGGGACCGGAGGGACGGGGGACCCGAGGGACCTGAGACCTGGGGACCAGGGGGGTGGAGGGTCGGGCTCGGTGGAAGTTGACTCTCCTCGTGTTTTCGCCACAGTTTGGGTGGAAAAAGTAACTTTACTAAAACTTATTTTTACTCAAGTTTCAGGCAAAAGTCGCCATCCAAGAAATTCCTCAAGTCAAACATTTAGTTAAAAGTTTACTGACCAGTTATCGATTATTTAATATTTAAATATTACATTCTGAGACAATAGGCCAAAATATTAACCTTAATGGTCATTTTTATATTTTAAGGACCAAAATGATGATGATTCATATGTCAACAAATAACAATCAGGCAAAAGAAAATGTTTCCAAATCAATAAATAATAATAAAAAACTTTAACAAACTGCAGGTGTGTTCTGTCACTGAGTTTTTAGTTAAAAAATGTTTGCTTTTTTTCTACTCAAATAGCAGTTGGTTGATGTAAATGTAACTAGTTACTCCTCGTCTCTCCTTCTACTTGAGTAAATTTTCTGTATTTTCCAGCCTCTCTGTTTTTCAGCAGACTCAGAGACACGCCTGCAGTTTTATTAACGTTTCTGAAGTTTTGCATGGAAAAAAGCAAATTTGGAAACATTTTATTTTGCCTTTTAAATATCAAAAGTTTCACATAACTTTATATTTTTGTACTTCATTAGAGTTTTTACTAAATTTTACCCTACCACTTTACAGCTACTTTTTACTTTTAGTGGAGTGAAAATCTGTTGAAGTGATGCTACTCATCCATACTTGGTTTAACTTTAATTTATATGAAAAACAAACTTATCAACTTTAATTTAGCCTCATGTTACTGTGAGATTGAAGTTTTGTTAGTTCCTTTAACTTTAGTTTCTCCCATTCCTGGCTGAAAATGTATTTCCTCTATTTATTTACCTGACAGATTTAATTGCGGTTTGTTAACTAATTAAAGCTCATAAACTTCATCAGTGTTATCCTCTAACCTGCTGTTTATTTCATTTAATTGACTTTTAAAGACCTGACGGTGATAAAACCTTCCTACTTTGAGCTGAGATGCATAAAAGGCCTAATTTAGAACGGATTGCTGGTTGATCCAGGACTGGGTGGAGATAACCAGCAGCAGATGAAGCACACCTGCTGCCTGGGTTTCCATTAAGGCCTTTCATGCTGAGTTCAGGAAATGGAGGAACTTTCAGGTGGAAATCGATGACTTCAGCAGCTCTTCTTGACGGGTCATTGAGTTTCTGTGGGAGAGAAACGGCAATCTTTTCGTGTTTCTTTATTTTTAGAGTCGCACCAATCGACTAGTTAGAGATCGGAACCGGCCCGATTCACCACCTTTCATCTAAATGTTGAACTTTCTGCTAATTTAAAGCATCAAAACAACATCTGGCTTAAAATGTTTTTCTTTTGCTCGCTTTCTTCTCTTTGAAAATATTTCCTGCCATTTTAAATTTTTTAAAGTTTAATCTTCTGTGAGTTGGATGGTGAAATATTAAACTGAAACTTTGATCATTTTTATTGATGAGAAAATGGAAAAAAGCTTCTGGTCACCAGAATCTGACATGAGCAGCTCAGTTCTTTGAAAAACACAATTGTTTCAAAGTTCTGCTACTGACAATAATTTCATGCTGATATGTTCAAAGGTTAAATTTTATCTCGAAAACTGATACCAAGTATAACTTCAAGATGCTTGACATTCCTCATCTTCATTTGTAATATTTTATGCTGAAGTTGTAGCAAGATTTATACTTTATTCTTCTCATAATATGACTTTCATTCTTGTAATGAAAATAAACATAAAAACATACTAATCTGTTGTAGGACTGACCTGAAATTAAGGTGTAAATAAATGGGAAATGTAAAACAAGATGGCCGCCATGTGGACTGTGGAAACCCAAGAAGTGCTTTGGTGGAAAAAGATACAGATTTTTCAAAAAGTAAATCTCTAAAAGCTAAAGAGAAATTTGTTGATCGATTTATTAGCCATAATAAAAACTAATAAACTGTCCTGGTTGGAAACGTCAACCATGATGCAGTTTGTCTGTTTTTACCGTTTTCTTCAGATTATTTTCCCCTAATGAGAAACATTTCTCCTCTTTGACAGGAAGCAGGAATCAGCAGGTCAGATAAAACTGAATCAATATCTGCCTGGAAATGTCCTGATCGGTGCATTTCTACAGGAGGCTCATCACTGGTTCTTACTGGTTTTTACTGGTTTCTGCTCCAGTTTGTTTGGAGATGTTCGGCTTGTTACTCGCTGTGATTCTTTAGAAAACCTCGGCGGATCAGATTTGTTCCAGCCTGCCCTGCAGGATTAGGGGCAAACATCCATCTTCTCTTTATTCATCCTCCTCTGGGGTTCGTGGAGGGTCTCCTCCTTCTGCAACCAGAGGTGTGAGTCGGCAGGAGGGAACTGGGAGTGGTGTGGGAGGAGTTAAGATCGGAAAGTGACTTAAAAAGACAAATATGCAGTGGATTGAAAACATTCCTCATATCTTAATGTGTTTTAGTGGAATATACCACAGATTTTTATTTTTAAGTCTGGACTTTGACTTTGGAGTTTTACCACCCGATTATGCTCCAAAAACACAAAATCTCGCCAAGTAGTTTGGTTTAGTTTCAAGTGTTAACATCTTAACTTGGCTAACTTAGTTAGATGTTTTCAGTCAATAACTCTTGAACCTTTTCTTCACTTAAAGACATTTTGCATGTTATAACTTAAATGTGAAATCTGTCATTGAAACTAACATTTTCCCATCAGCTCTGAGCAGCGACCCCGTCGCTGCAGCCTGAGGCTGCCCCGTCGCTGCAGCCTGAGGCTGCCCCGTCGCTGCAGCCTGAGGCTGCCCCGTCGCTGCAGCCTGAGGCTGCCCCGTCGCTGCAGCCTGAGGCTGCCCCGTCGCTGCAGCCTGAGGCTGCCCCGTCGCTGCAGCCTGATGCTGCCCCGTCGCTGCAGCCTGAGGCTGCCCCCGCTGCAGCCTGAGGCTGCCCCGTCGCTGCAGCCTGAGGCTGCCCCGTCGCTGCAGCCTGAGGCTGCCCCGTCGCTGCAGCCTGAGGCTGCCACCATGGGGAAAGCAAACGACAAAAGCTTCTTGTTGTCATGGTCTTTCACCCCGAGAGTCTGTAGACTCGGCTCGGTTAATGACAACAGTTCCAGCGGCTGCAGTTCTCTTTATTGCTGTACCGAGTCCAACAAACCAAACGGCTGAAGCAACCTGTTTCCCTCTCCGCCTGTGGGGGCGCTGCACCAGAAACCACTGAAGGAATCGACACCAAAACCTCTGAATACACTGAGCAAAACATCCTCTTTCATGAAATGTAAACAGAAATTGAGTGGCATCAAATTTTAGCGGATGGAAGATTTCTCTTTAGTTATTTTCTCCTGCAAGCGCTAAGCTAACTCGTTTGTTTTGACTTTCTTTACCCACAATGCCTTGTGTTGAAGTCCGCTTGCCAGTCTGTTGTGAGATAAGTTGGTTTTCAAACCCCTTTCACTTCTTGGCAAACGGTCGGGTTAGTTGTTTGAACAGCTTCGCCTTCAGTCAACAGGCTAATTCACCTCCTGCTGCCTCAGGAAGACACACCTGGGCTCCACCAGGTGTGTCTTCCTGTCCTTTGATCGGACCGCCACGTTGCTCTGATTTTAAGTGGAAATGTCAAAAACCTGTTGCTTTTAATGAAAGAAGATTACTATACTGAAATATCAAGCTGGCGTAAAATGAAACTAAATGAAGGGAAAATGTTTTTTTTTATCAGGGATGCAAACAAATAATTGACTTGTGGTTACTTGATTTATGAGATTAATTAGTTCAAACCATCAACTAATGTTTGGTGAAACCGCCGCTTAGTGTTGTAGTTTGACCTCCATCCAGCAGGGGGCGCTGTTGTGGAGAGAGAAACGTAGCTGGCGGCCATTTTTCAGAACAGGAAAGAGAAAGTGTCAACTTGTCAACCAAAAGTCACTGATTTGTTGCGAAAGCGAGGATGTGGTGACAGACGTTTTGAATTGCAACAAACAAAAACGTCGAGCCTGGTTTGTGTTGCGGACTGAGTTCAATAGCATCATGGAGAAGTTTCCACATTCCTCCAAAAACATGGCGTTCCTTTATGAATATAGCTGCTCATGGGAAATATGTGTTTTAATATATTTTAATCTTTTTTTCTTTTATTGTAACTATACTAAACCTGTAAGTTTTATTGAAAAATTTACTTTTAGTTTTTATTTTCCTATGCATTTACTAGAGTAATTTTATGAAGTATTTCTACTTTTGAGTAAGATTTTCACATAACTTGGATATTATTAATTTGGTCAGTAATTGAGTAGACTTTTTCCCAGATACTTTTTCACTCTTGAATAATTTCTTGGATGGAAACTTTAACTTTTACTTGATTGCAGTTTTTGGTTCCTCTGCCCATCCCTAACCGTCTAGGCAGACTTATGAAGACACTGTTGTCATTGCATTACTTGTTCTGAGAAAGCTGCTGGATTCTCTCCATCAGTTCGGCTCAGGAGGGAGGTGCCGATCCGCTGACGGGTTTTAAAGTTGGCTGTGAAACGTTTCAGAAAGTTCATGAATACTGCAGCCTTTCTGTTCCTTGGAGTTCAGAGCGAAGCGTCGACTGATGTCGGTTCCTCCTCAGAGGAGTTCCCAGCTTTCTCTGCGGGTCGAGAGGGAGAGAAGGAAAGCTGCTGGCTGAACCTCTGAGGCTTGGCGGACGGAGGGAGGCGAGGTCACGGCGCATTCAGAGGCGTAAAACAGTGGTGTGCGCTCATTTTGGTTTTCCACACCACAGGAGAGGAAATGACTGAGTGGGAGCAGAACTGAATGTGCTGCAGCTACACGATTAAAATCTCTTCAATTAGAAATGTGCTTCAAGTCGAGCTGCACCTAACAATTATTTTGCTTATCAATTATTCTGGATGA